CGGGAAGACATGCGACGACTCGTCGACCAGACTATCAAACATTTCGGTAAACTTGATATTCTCGTCAATAACGCCGGCGCCGGGATTGCGGCCCCATTTCAGAACAAAGACTATTACGAAAAGTTTGAGAGAGTTATGGCTATTAATCTCAATTCTGTCGTGTATTTAACCCATATATGTGTCGAGCATTTGGAGAAAACTAAGGGAAACATTATTAATATCTCGAGTATCGCTGCGATGAGAGCTGTAAGTATTTGATAAAAAATTATAAAATACAAATTTTATATTAATATTATAATTAATAACAACCAACAGCTAGCTGGCTTTTCCCCATACAATATGGCAAAATGTGCCCTGGATATGTTTACTAAATGTATGGCTGCCGAACTGGGCCCCAAACGCATCCGGGTTAATGTTATCAAGTATGTATCATGTATTAATTTTATTATAACATCAATTAACAATTTATTTATTATATAACACTAATTAATATTTACTTATTTTGCTACTAGTCCCGGACCCGTTCGCACCGAGTTCATAAAAGCGATGGGCACTCCCGACGAGTTGGCCAACAAAATGATGAACGCTTACGACAAGATTGTGCCCGTGGGTCGGGTGGGAGAGTCCGATGATATAGCCGACCATATACTATACTTGGCCAGTGACCATGCTGCGTTTGTCACCGGCTCTAATCTGGTCTCGGATGGCGGTGTGGTTGTGGCCAATCTACTCAATTCAGATGCTGTGAAAGATTTATTGTAGAGTTGACCACATATGTTTTTTATGACAAATAGTTTTTAATACAATTTAATAGTATTGCATAACATATTGGTTATTTTGATAATGTGAAAATGAATGTATAATCTTCATTAACAATAAAAATCTAAAAATTTTAATACAAATTTATTCAAAAAAGATTTATTTAAAAAATATGGTTACAGTGTCAAAGCAAGTATATAAGCAAGTATATATTAAATGCAAGCAACTTGATTATATATCAAACTTTATTCTGTAAAGATTAAATAAAATGTCAAGGTTATTATTAATAATAATTTATTAAACGACAAACCTATTAAATAGTTTTTTAAAGTGATTATAAAACATATTATCTGATTATAATAATTTAATTATAATTGGTTTCTAATAAATTGTGCAAACATAGTGTAAATATGTAATTTTTACTTATATTGATATTTACATGATAATAAACAACATGATCAATTTACATATATCAATCAGTAAATCTACATTTGTCACTTTTATTATTTTATCCTAACAAATAAACTACAATTGTTGATTAGAATTTGAGCATTTTAAACTGTAAAAACATTTTTGAATAAACTAAAATATTTTTATTACAATATGATTACAATTTGTTTAAACTTGGAAAACTACAACCAAAACATTAATAATATTAATATTTAATAGTATTATTTATGTTTTTATTAAACTAAATATCATTTTGTTACTTAAAATTAAATAAAAACAGTATATACAAGAATTTTAATGGATTTGATAATCATGCTATACTTAATTGTTAAGTTGGTTGCATACACTTGAGAGTCCAAGTAGTTTGCACTTAATACACTAAAACTGTAAGAGTGTATACACTAAATAACCTTGGCAAGTTGACGTGTTATTTCATATAAGCAATATCTTTATATAAATAAGCTAAAACACTACTATTAATAATCATAATTTAATGTATGTTTTTGAAAATAACTTTAAAAATACAATATTTTATTGTGTCAATATATTTTTAAGATAAAATAGAAATTTATATATTAACTTTTATTTAAGATATACTTAAAATTTATCTAACTTAAAAATTAAAAAAAACTACAATAAGATGTCTATTAAATTTGATTTTACTGGTAAAGTAGTGCTAGTAACGGGCTCGAGTTCGGGTATCGGTGCGGCCACTGCTGTCCAGTTCGCCCAATCGGGTGCCATTGTTGTTGTCACCGGTCGTAGGGCTGATAAAATAGCAGAAGTGGCCAAAGAGTGTCTGAAAGTATCGCCGAAAGGGATTAAAGCACTGGAAGTGACGGCAGATGTGACCAAACGTGTAAATCTGCAACGACTCGTATACGAGACTATTAACCATTTCGGTAAACTTGATATTCTCGTCAATAACGCCGGCGCCGGGATTTTAGCCTCGGTTCAGGACAAAGACTATTACGACAACTTTAAGAAAGTGATGGCAATTAATCTCAATTCTGTCGTATATTTAACGCATATATGTGTCGAGCATTTGGAGAAAACAAAGGGAAATATCATTAATATCTCGAGTATCGCCGGATTGCGAACAGTAAGTACAGCATGAACTTTAATAACACTAGTTATTCATGGTAATTATATAAATTTCTAAATTATCTAGTTTATCGGCTTTTCACCATATTGTATGGCGAAGTGTGCTCTGGATATGTTTACCCAATGTATGGCAGCCGAGTTGGGACCTAAACGTATTCGGGTTAATGTTATTAAGTATGTATATTAAAACAATCAATCAAGATAGCTTAGTTTCTAAACATTTACTAAACTAAATGTAAACCCTGTTAGTCCCGGACCCGTTCGCACCGGCTTTTCAACCGCTATGGGAACCCCACAAGAAGTGTCAGACAAAACAATGGCCGCTTACAGTGATTTTGTACCCATTGGTCGTGTTGGCGAACCGGACGATCTAGCTCATTCAATTTTGTACTTGGCCAGTGATCATGCTGCGTTTGTCACCGGATCTAGTATGTCAGCTGATGGTGGTATAGTTGCCGCTAATAAACTTGATTTTAGTGCATTGAGAAAGAAATAAGATATACATGATTACTTTTATTGATTGTTGAAAATGATTATTTACATTTTTCATTTGATGCTAAATAGAATATAATTAGTTAGTTTATGAATTTATTTTTTAAATTTATTAAATTAGGATATTATAAATTTATTAAGTTCAAATAATACTTATTGTCATGAGCTTTATATATTTATATCTATTTTACATGTAGAATAAATATAGAAAATTATTATTGTTAAATCTGATTTTAATGTCTTAAATTTAAACTATGCTGTTAAATTTAATAAATTATAATTGCAAATCACTGTAATACTAATTGATTAATTTATAAACTCAAGTAATTATATCATTAGTTAAGTGTACATACCATTGGCAGTTATTTAATGTACAAATAAGTATTGTACACTTATATTTGATTATTATCAACATCAAATATTAAATATTTAAATATATCAAATATCTAAATACTGAATAGTTTACATATGATAATTTTCTCTAATAATATTATGTAATTTTAATAAATATAAATTTTAGTTTAATTTCCACTTTATTCTCAACAGATTTTAATTTATATTATATTATATAAAATAATATAACACTATATTTTTATTTATATATTTATAAATATTTATAATTATTTATATTATTAATTGCATATAAAGTATAATTATATATTAATCAATCCATGTGTTTATTAGCAACAAAAGGGAATTAATAATTGGACACCATATTTTCTATTAAAACACTTTTTTAATAAACAATTTTTAATTAATTATATTTTAACCGTTTCATTTAATAACAATAATATTTGTAAAATAATGTCTGTTATATACGACTTCACGGGTAAAGTAGTGCTGATAACGGGCTCGAGTTCGGGCATCGGTGCGGCCACTGCTGTGCAGTTTAGTAAAGCCGGCGCTCAATTGGTAGTCACCGGACCTCCTGATCGTCAACCCATAGATACGGCCACAGAGTGTCTGAAAGTATCGCCGAAAGGGTTGAAAGCACTGGAAGTGACGGCAGATGTGACCAAACGAGAAGACATGCGACGACTCGTTGACCAGACTATCAAACATTTCGGTAAACTTGATATTCTGGTCAATAACGCCGGCGCCGGGATTCCCACCCGTATTGACGACATCGACTATTACGACAAGTTTGAGAAAATAATGGCAATTAATCTCAATTCTATCGTATATTTAACGCATATATGTGTCGAGCATTTGGAGAAAACTAAAGGAAACATCATTAATGTCTCGAGTGTCGCCGGTTTGATAGCGGTATGTAATTATGATAATAAATCATTAAATATATTTATCATAATAATTTTATAATTAAAAATATAATTATCATCTATATACTATGGTATGTACACAATAGTCTGTCGGCTTTTCACCATATAACATATCAAAATGTGCTATTGATATGTTTACTAAGTGTATGGCTGCCGAATTGGGACCTAAACGCATCCGGGTTAATACTATTAGGTTAAACACCTGAATTTTAATTTAATATTACAAATATTATTTGAATTGATCTAATACAAATTACGTTTGTTTATTAAACTAGTCCTGGACCCATTAGAACACAGTTTTACGAGACTAGTGGTCTGACAACTGATCTGGCTAATCAACTATTTATTACGTTTGCCCAAAAGCTACCGGTTGGTCGCCAGGGTATTACTGATGATGTGGCCAATACCGTACTAAACCTGACCAGTGACCATGCACAGTTTTCAACCGGTGACAATGTACTGGTGGACGGTGGTAGCATGGCTGCCAATGTTACTTTGGAAAATGGACAATGCATCAAAAAAATTATTTTAAAAAAACAATGATCAACAATAAATAAAATGATATAATTAAAGAGAATTG